AGTTTTCCCAGAAATGCAATTGTAAAGTTATCAGATAAAATGTATTTTCATTTCTGAACTCAGTTAAAAACTCATAGATAGGGGAATTGTCCAACTTTTAGCTAGATATGTAGTGTGGATGCTCTATCAATTTTGTAAGCTATTTCTTTATGAATAAAGTGAAAATACGCAATTGAAATAGAAAGAAAAACAGGTGTAACATGCCATGAATAAGTTTTCCTAGTGTCATTTATCACAGATTGAATATTCTGTATCCCAAATATTTAGGACAAAAAGTGTTTCAGGTCTTGGAGATTTATAAATTTTGGAATATTTGCATATATTTTACCAATTGAACATCTCTAATCTGCATATTTGAAATTTCAAGTGCTCCAAAATCTGAAATATTTGAGCATCATTTCACTGTTCAAAAATTTTCAGATTTTGAAATATTTTAGATTTCTGATTTTCAGCTTAACAACTCTGAATCCATAATATAATTTTTAAAAATAGTTTTGTAATAAGGGACTATGCATTTATTTATAAATGTACACTTTAATTCATGTGCATTTTAACAGTAAAGTTTATCACCTTATCTCCTGGAAATAAAATCCCTCTGTCACAATTTATTAGTTAATATTTTAAGACTTGTATAAACATGCAGTGAATTTATGAATATATATTTTTCAGTTTATTCACTATATTGAATAATTTAGCATACAGTTTTCCTTAAAAACAACTATAAATGGATGAAAATACTCTTCATAGTAATTCTATTATGTTCTTAACTATATTATCCATTATACAATTAGAACACTTTCTCATAATACAGATCAATGTCAAGGTTACTTTGGTAATATATGAAACATTAGTTCATTTAATTAACTTATCTAAAATGTTAAAAAAAGTTAGTGTACAAAACTAATTTTTTTTAATGTTTTGACATAAGGGCTGGGATGGGGAAAAAAAGAAGCAAGATATATCATGCACTGATACAAAATCCCTATGATGAATGTTATCATTTTGTATATCTAAAATGTACCAATAAATGTTTTGTTAAAAATTTTTTTAAAATTTCAAAATAATTAAAAGCAAAAGATTACATTGCTTATTTTACAAACATTTATCCATTATTTTTTATTAATATATTCTAAACATGCTAAGAAATTGATTTTGTTATGAAATGTAATTTATATATTCTTCCCTAAGAATACAAATAAGTATTTTACATACTCAAGGCTCTATATCTATATCTTGTGCTTTGACAAAAAGCTTTGTAAATAAATTTTATCTTTTTTTCAACTCTGAGCTTTAATAAAAAAATTACCAAAGTCTTTTTTTTAAAGGAGTGTGGCTTCTACTTTGTCTATATTCATATTGATTAATTTGTCTATGAAGTACAACTTTTTAAATCTTATTTTATTTTATTAGTACATGTTTGCAATTCATGCAGCTTACAGTCATCCTGGGAAGTTGCATGTACATACCACAGCTTGTTTTTTTCTAACCCTTCCCCCTTCCCTTCCCCTCCTCTGGTCGCCCATCAACTTTTACATACTTGTTGATACAATTTGTCTTAGCTTATGTTATGGCTTGTAGTATTTATATTGATTGGAGTTTTAGGATCTTGAACATGGCACAACTTCATTTCTCTCATTTCCACTTCCCCTTCTCCCTCCTCCTCACCCCTTGTTCTTGTTCCCTTGGACTACTTCCCTAGTGCAACAGATCTGTCCCCTTGTCGTTTTCTAACATTATTGGATACAGCAGTGAGAAGAGTCCTTTTCCTGGAACAGCACCTTCTCTGCATGCCCGTAGTTCGCCTGGCGACTAGCATGGGTCTCCATGGTGCCAGAAGCGCATGCGATGTGGCTTTCTTATACGTGTCACACACTATATGGTGTAGGTTTATTCTGAGTCATCATGAGCGAAAGGGGCGCTGACAAAAACACACTGAATAACTTACAAAGTAGATATATATTATGCACAATACAAAATCACTTTCACAAAAGTGCAATGATCAAAATTGCACTTCCATAAATTAGAAGAAATGAAAAACAATGAAAACTATTTTATTAGAAATTATTCAGTAATTTTTGAGGTTATGTAATCACTCTTGAGACAGCTGAAAGAAAATAAAACAGACAGACATCAAAGAATTTTGCAAGAGTTCTTTTCTTTTTCCTTTCTGCTTTTTTTTTTTTCTGGTTTTGAATTTTCTTTTTTCTTTTCTTTTCTTTTTTCTTTTTTTTTTCTTTTTTTCTTTTTCTTGGTACCAGGCATCGAACTAGGGTCCTTTCACTTGGGCAGCAGGCAGCGAAACCACTGAGCTAAATCCCCAGCCCTTTGAACTTTCTATGTAGCCCAGGCTGGCCTTGAACTTGCAGTTATCCTCTTGCCTCAGCCTCTCAAGTGCTGGAATTACAGGTGTGAGCCACCATGCCCAGCTGAACTGTGTCCAATTTTAGTGGTCCAGGTATCTGATTCCTATTTGGTTCAAACCCGCTTGATCTCATTGATCCCCTGAGCTTTGACAACTTGCTCAGGTGAAAGCTCAGCTATGACCACATACTTTCATTTTCTTTCTAAGTAATCCAAGAAATTTTGCTTATTACAAGAGTAGAAAAACAAGTGAATTTCAAAAATGAGTGCTATGATATTCTATTTTATAGTTACACTTCTGCACTTAGGTGACCCTCGGGCTCAATTTTCTTGAGTATCAAAGCTTTGAAATGTCTAGAACATATGTTTAGTTTGCATTATCAGTAAACAAAACATCAAAGCTATAAAGTTTGAACTTTGTAGGCACAGAATATAATTTACAATAATTCATGTTAATAAATATATGTTTCATAAGCTAATAACTTTCCCAAAGCAAGACTTTATTTAAATTTATATTTTACTACTCAAATAACAGTAACAACAACTAGAACAAAAAATACTTTTGTGACAGGATATTTTATCATTTAGATGGAGTCTTTATGTCCATTTTAACTATTCTATGAAATTTTTCCTTGTTGGTATTTCCATTGACACTTCATTTATTCCAATAAATATATGACCTGCTTGACTATTTGACTATTTCAAAATCTTGCATCCTGTTGTGTGTGTGTGTGTGTGTATGTGTGTGTGTGTGTGTGTGCATGTGGTGTGAAAGGGAGAGAAAGGGACACTTTGAAAGCCTCATACAATTTCATATATTAACTACTGAATAATCATCACCATTGTTACTCATGATGAAAAGTTTCATCTTGAAAATTTTAAGATACAGTTTTCACAATATGTTTCTGACTGTGTAAAAAAAGCCCAGAAAAATAGAAGAAACCAGATATGAAAATCCTAAGGATAAACACTGATTTCAAAAGGAAACTCATTTTATTTCCCTGAATTCAGAACAAAGTAATTTCCTCAATGTGGAATGATATAATAGAAAGATCAATTGTCTGAATGCTAATTACAACTTCTACATTCTCTATAGTAAGGATAGGGATTAGCGAATATATTTTCTCTTTGCAATTCCTTTATCACATTATCTGTACAATAAGAGAGTTGAACAAAATCTTCTCTAGAGACTACTCTCACTGCAAAGCTATGCAATTTTAATGGAAAGAATTTAAAAATAAATAAAAGTTTTTACTGATTAATGTTATTTCAAATTCTATTGAATGGTTTTAATAGATAATATTGCACTGAAAGGATCTTAGAATATTCTAATAATGAAAGGAAAGGGCAAAAATACCATTGTGAAAGAGTAAAATAAATGTTTTTCTCATTTATGAAAGTCTTCAGTTTCTATTTCCCATTTGAGCTTTGCTTCATTGTTTTAATCTTTCCAGTCTTATAAATAATGTAACAAATAAATAAATAAATAAATTGATGCATCCCACAATATTTGCTTTGATAATTCTACATTTGTTTCTTTTACTTGTTGCTGCTTCTAACAATGAATATTAGGTTGAAATATAGAAATTCAAAAATTATCCTAGAGAGTATTTGTCCTGATTTAACTTACTGTTGTAACTCTTTTTATAAGTGTGTACAAAAAGGGCAATATAGTCTTTGTACTCTAATTCAAACCACTTCAGAAGTTAAAGGTACTATATATAGGGAGAATTAATAAAGGGAAATAGGCACTGAAGAGTTGGTGCTTTCTGTAATCCCAGATACTCAGGTGGCTGAGACAGGTGGATAACAAGTCTCAGTGCAGCTTAGGAAATTTAGTGAGACTCTTCCTCAAAATGAAAAATAAAAAGGACAGTGATATAGATAGCTCAGTGGTAGAGAACATTTTGTAAAAATATTGCAAAAAAAATGCAAAAGCAAACAAAATTGTAGACCTATTTCCATATACATATATATATATATATATGCATGTTCATATGTGGATGTAATTCCTACAAATTAAAAATATGCTTTATTGTGTATTTCCTCATAATGTACTCTATAATTATTTCATTGTGCTAAATTAGGGAAAAATAAATGTTAACCTTTTGAATTTGCCCTTTAACTTTTTCATCAAATAGGTTTAGATACTTCTTTATTTGTGAGAAAATTTCACAGCTATGTTAGGGTTGGTATAAATTCTTTGAGGTTTATGTTCTCATGTGTACTTTAGGCCTGAAGATTTAAATTTGTAGAATCTTGATATTGATACATTTATCTCAGCACCTGATCCATCCATTTTATTTCTCGATCTTCCAAGTCCAGAGGTATAACTGAGACAATTTCTTTGATTTCTAGTGAAAAACAAGAACTCACACAACTAAAGAAAAAAATAGTAGGAGAGAAAGAAGGAAGGGAGAGAAGGAGAGGCAGAGCAGGCAGCAGTTAGGATTGTGTAGGTTCTCCTTGATATACAAGTTTCTCTGGGGTGACGCAACGACATGCTGCACATTGGTGGATTTGGGCCCTGAATGAAGAAGCATACGCTTTAGCAACTCCAGTTGCTATCGTTTAAGCAAACTGGCCCAATGTTTGCAACAGAGAGAAAAAAAAATACAGTTCTTATTCTAGACAGCAAATCAGCCTTCTCCTCTTTATTATGAGATTATCTTTCCTTTCAAGGCGTACTTTTATATAAATATCTTTAAAAACATTGTCCAAACCAAAGGCTGTCAGTGAGTCATTCAAAAGAGAGAAAAGAGAGAACTATGGAGAATTGTCTCTCAAATGTCTCATTTTGTGATGCTTTGTAAAATAATCTGGGGATGGTATTTTCTATACGTTATACCCACATTTCTTTCTGGTCTACCTCATTTTATCCCCCAAATCCTTTTCATTTCTCATGCTATGAAGATGAATTAACCTTGTATTCAGTGGCTCATATTAAATTATATTCTCAAGAACTCAGATTTCATTCCAGCAGATATATTTATTTTATTTTTTTATATTTTATTAAAACGAGTGTTCTTGCTGAAGACCAAATTGAATTCCCAGATAACAAGAAGGTATTTTTGACATGCTATTTCAGTAATACATATTTCCAAACTAGAGAGGACAAATTTCATATTTATTTCTACATCAGTTTGAAGAAACACACTACATCTATAGTAATTCTTCCCTCATAAGTATAGAGTCAAAATAATTTGTAGGTAAATTAATGATGGAGATTTTAGATTCAGGAAAAAAATGGTGCTGGATTAATCTCCAGATCCAGCTAGTGTCTATTTTATTAGTCACTTGTACTGGTAGGATGCATTAGGAAGAGAAAAAATTAAATTTGGTCATGAGCCAGAATATTTCAACTACCTAGGGCACACTCCAAAATTTGCTTGAATTGGAAAGGAAAAAAAGGTTCCTCCAGGCAATTAGAATAAATAGTATTAGGAAATGGTTAATATATGTTTACAAAATAAAAAAGAATAATAAGAAAAAACATTTTATATAAGGAAGTGAGAAAATTTAGTTTTTGAATTGAATAATTGCATCATCAGGAAAAAAATGTATATATGGAGAAAAAATATGCAAGAAAATAAATAAATAAGCTATTTTGGTCTCCATTATTTTAAGTACTCATTTCGCAAATGTTTCAAGGAAAGCAATGCTAAATAAATCATTTTAGTAATAACAAAACCTCTTATCCCACCTTTTTATTATAAAATATTCTTTTAGATATTACTATCATGCTTACATCCCAAAGTTTCTATGTAGCTATTTTGGTTATTATAAATATTTTCAATATATCACTAAAAACTGTAAGTTCAGTGGACTGGTAGGTCAAAATTTTTGTATTTATAACATGGAAATACTAATGACAAACGCGTTATAGTCCGGGAACTTTAATCATTTTCAAAGCTACTTCACTGCTTTTTCTTCAATGTCTTTTTTTCATTTCATTTATTTGCCTTGTATTGATAATTTCTGAAGCATTTAGAAGATTCCCAGGACTGAAAATATTCCCCTAAAATTTAAATTTTCTACTGCTTTTTAAAAAGTCAGCCAAATACTTTGAAGGTATGACATAGAGCAAATCTGAGAGGGCATTATTTATAAACAACACCATATAAACGAAGTAATCCATTAAGGCAGCAAAATACTAGGATACATATCAAGGAAATTTGAAAAACATCCAACTAGTATCAAGTAGTATCTTCCTTAAAGTTAAAATATTCATACACCCCCCTAACCCTGAAGATGTTAATATAATAGAGAACTGAACATAATCTCCAAAAGACTCAATATCTGCCATATGTATTACTTTGTTCCATTTACTGAGGATCCATTAAGTTTCACAGTGTCTATAATCCATTCTTTTCTGCTTCCTGGAATCAACGTGCACAAGATATTCCTGGAGAAAGGAGAAACATCCATTACAACTATATCTTTGATTAATTAA